AAAAAAAATTAAACGATTTATATTTTCAAAACAGAGGGAAAATAATATCCAATTTTCAGAAGAATTTGGTGTGCTTAAAATACGAGATTTTTTGTACACTTCTTCACATTTCGTTTATACTAAAGTTTAATAAATTAGTGATGAAGTTAGCGAAGCATATATTAAAATAAAGCTTTTGGAGAACAAAAAATGAATATGAAGAAAAATATACAAGGATTATAAAATTATACCAGTTCGTCTAGAACTTGGACTTCTTCTTTCTTGAAGGTTTGAGAATAGAAAAATCCAAATCTTGCCAAAATGATGTAATCTGCAAAAAATAATACACTTTAAGATGATAAATGGCACGTACTAAACTGTACAAAAAATTAGAAGGCTGAAAAGCATGTTTGGAAACGCAAAAGAGGACCGAACCATTCGTGAAGCCAATCGAAAGTGAAGCTCATCAATTGCATAAGAAAATATGGGAATGGAGAGAAGAAGGCAGTAAAAGAAAACAAGGGGAGAAGGAAGGCAGTGAAGGGAAACAAGTGGGAAAATATGACTGGGAAACAGAGATATTTAGGTTGGAACCTTTCCAAGTGAAGAAGGAAGGCAGTGAAAGGAAACGAGTAGCAAAAAAAATTTTGATCTTCCAAGTGCAGAAGGAAGGCAGTGAAAGGAAACGAGTAAGAAAAAAAAAGTTTGAATCTTCCAAGTGCAGAAGGAAGGCAGTGAGCGGAAACAAGTGGGAAAATATGTCAGTGGGAACAGCTTTATAGGTTTGAATCCTCCGAGCGAAGGAGGGCAGTGAAAGGAACAAGTCAGAAAATATGTCAGTGGGGAACAGCTTTTTACATTTTCATGCCTTGTTTGAAAGGAATTCTAGCATCAAGATTCCTAATAAGGAGTAATTTCAAAACTATTGTTAATAAAGTTCTTAACAGTAATTTTTACAATAAAGAAATTTTATTAGAGTTGTTAATTTTTTCATATTTAATAAAAAGATAACGAATATGATAATAGTCACATATAAAATTATTATGAGTATATAAAATTTCTAAATGTTTTTATATAAAAATATTAATTATATTCAATTTAATTATTAAAAACAGAGAAAGCAATAATTATTAATTGATAACTCATAGAATAACTTGTAAGATAATATTTTTAAAAATCATATCTAATTATTTAAAAAAAATTAAATTTGTGCAAGGCTAATATTTTTGTACATCATAATAACGACACTCAATATTAATATTGAGGAAGTTGTTAAGTTAATCTCAAAAGTTAAAAAGTTAAGAAAACCTTGTTGAAAATAAGTTGATATTAATAAAGTATTAAAAACCTTTTTTTTAATTTCATCTTTTTCAAGTCAATAAAAACATACATTTTAATAACACTTTAGATTAAAATTAATAGTGAATATTACATTTCAATTGTTATTGATTGTTAATCATGAAGCCTTGAATGGATGGGCAGCTCTAATTATCAAAGAGCCTGCTCTTTATTTAATAATTTAAAAATTAGATTTTAATACAGTTTAAATAGAAAATTTTAGGGTCTTTAACATTTTCTCGTTTGACAATAAAAAAATATTATATGATATAAATTATATTAAATTATATAATTTAAATTATTAAATAA